GCAGCACGGGTGCCGGAGAACTTGAGCGTGGATGGAAAAGTGAAGAAAGAAGCAAAGTTTCGGGTGGATAAAGTGACTATTGGGAAGGACCTTGTGGCACCTGGAGGTGCTAATAGTGATGATTCTGATACACTTGAGGAGGGAGATGATGAGCAGGATGAAGCGGGGGCTGAGTCGCCCACCCATGAGCAAGTTGAAGAACCCGAAGGACCGTCCAGGGTCGGTCGGATTACGCGGCTGGCGGCCTTAGAGCAGGAAATGGCAGGGCTGCATACTACTGTCACAGACTTGGGACTAGAGTTGATGCCTTGGCCACCCAAAATGCTAAATCAGAGAAGAAAATCATGGGCTGGCTGCGTGCGTTAGGAAGGGCGTGTCACTTAGACCTCGGCACTGTCTCTGATCAAGACTGATCTTCCAGGGAAGTTCCTTTGCCTCGCATTACTTTTTATTTTATGACATGAGGACATGACATCTTTTTAAGTGTGGGGTAGGGTTACTTCGTTGGTATGTTGCATCTACGAAACCTGGAGGAAGAGATGTAAATAATTTGATTGTAGGTAGTGTGGGGTAGGGTTACTTCGTTAGTATGTCCCGACGACGGATATCACTCGACGGGTTTCTTGAGGGTCTAAGTCGATATATAAAAAAAAAGATTTTCTTTTGTAGGTAGTGTATCAATTACCCCTTGGTTTTTCTTTTGACCGCGGTTCTTTTACAAGGGTTTCTGTTTGAACCGGGTTAGTTAGTTTTTTATATTTTTAATTAGGTACTTGTGGGCTAAGGGCTGATATGGAAGGAGGATCCCTGGACGTCATTATGCCTTGAATAAAGTAGATAATTTAGTGTGACGCTTAGGCTCAATTGTTGATTCTTATTAGAGTGCCTTAAATTGTATGTTCTTAATTTGGCTTAAGTACTCTGACTAGCGCGTTTCGATGATCCAATCTAGAGTGAGTCATGTGCCATGAGTGTGTGAGGATTGTTGTATTCTGTGCACTGTATTAGATGCCTAGAACTTGCCCCGTGTGTTTGCAAAGTGAAATAGTAGGTTGTTCAGTCTTGAAAATGATATAGGCGTTTCTTTGTCAAGCCAGATATATATATGTATATATATATATATATATATATATATATATATATATATATATATATATATATATATATATNATCTTTTTAAGTGTGGGGTGGGGGATACTTCGTTTGTATGTTGCATATATATAGGAACGTAGCTTGATTTTGGTTTTTGGTTAGTTGTCTGAATGTGTGAAATTCAAATTTTCGACTTGTCCCGACGACGGATATCACTCGACGGGTTTCTTGAGGGTCTAAGTCGATATATATATATATATATATATATATATATATATATATATATATATATATATAAAGAATATTTTTCTTTTGTAGGTAGTGTATCAATTACCCCTTGGTTTTTCTTTGGACCGCGGTTCTTTTCCAAGGATTTTTGTTTGAACCGGGTTAGTTAGTATTTTAATTTTTAGTTAGGTACGTGTGGGATATGGGCTGATATGGAAGGAGGATCTCTTAACGTCATTATGCCTTGGATGCAGTAGATACTTTAGTATGACGCTTAGGCTCAGTTCTTGATTCTTGCTAGAGTTCCTTAAGTTGTATGTTCTTAACTTGGCTTAAGTACTCTGAATAGAGTGTTTCGATGATCCAATCTGGAGTGCGTCGTGTGCCATGTGTGTGTGAGGATTGTTGTATTCTGTGCACTGCATTTGATGCCTAGAACTTGCCCGGTGTGTTTGCAAAGCGAAATAGTAGTTTTGTTTAGTCTTGGAAGTGATATAGACGTTTCTTTGTTGAGCCATATATATACTTTACCCGCCTAGTTGTTATATATCGCAGTTTACCCCTTTGAGCATGTAATCCTATTTCTTTGGCAATCACATTACAAGCCTTACCCATGTGTTTGAATTGACCATCTATTTGAACCTTTTAACCTCTCATGAGTGCTTGAATTGTTATGAACTTTGTAAAAGTTAAAGTGTAGGGTGGTTGGTTTGGCTTTTGAGTGAAACTAATGAGATAAGGAGAAAAGTGCATTGTTTTGAAAAGTAAGAACCACTTGAAGTGAAAGAAAAAAAAAGAAAAAAATATAAAAGAGAAGAAAAAATATAGATAAGTGGTGGTTCTTGATGTAATTGGGCTTCAAGAAGTACGAGGTAATACACATTGATGAAAAGGTGGAGTTTGGTTTGACATAAGTAGGGACTTAAATGTTAAAATGTATGTATTAAAGTGCTCAGGGAGGTGTAGTCACACTTATATCTAAATGTATCCTACCCGTCCCGCAGCCTACATTATAACCGAATAAAGTCCTACTTGATCCTAAACTGAATGAGCTCGATTAGTAGAGTAGTACACTACGGGCAAGCCTATGGTGCATTTTTGTGGCATATGAATGTTCCTTCTGAGAGTGAGTGAATTCTTTCTATCTTGAGTTCCTAAGTGTCCTTAACTTGTTTTGTGTGTGGAACTACTCTCGGTTGTTATGAGAGGGCACTTGATTCGTGAAGGAAAGGTGAGTCTTAACCTCTGCGTAGAGTAAGTGAGTAAGTTATGAGTAGTACGTGGCATGTGAGAGTCAACCCTTGAGGCGAAGATGTTACACTACTGGGCTCAATCCTTGTGATATGTTCTTGGTGTGATGAGTTAGAAAAGTTGCTTAGTGAAGTAGGCCTCTGTAGAGTATGGTTGATTGCTCGGGGACGAGCAATGGTTTAAGTGTGGGGTGTTGATAGCAGGCTATAATTATGTAGTTTAGCTACCATTTACGCTCCAACTTAGCTATACTTTATTGTTATATGAATGTTAAAAGACAACAAATGGCTCTAATTATGAACTTTGTGCTTTGCAGGAGCAATTCCTGACTATGAGGACATTAAAGAGTGTTTGGAGTTAATTTGGAGAAAGGAAGGCCAATCGGAGGTGAGTGCGCGCAAAAGAAGAAGAAAAATGGAAGGCAGAATTGAACTCCAGGAGCGCGGGCCAACCGCGGCCGCGTGTCAGGCAGAAAGAAAGGCAATATGCGCGGCTCATCCGCGGTCCAACCGCGACCGTGCTCGTCCTTCCAAGGATTTTTATTTCAGGGGTTAATTCGTAAGTTCAGGGGCGACTCTCCTTGACCTATAAGAAGCCCAGCTCGCCCAAAAAGAAGGTATTGAGGTTTTTGAAGGGATTTTGAAGGCAAGAAGCAAGGCGGAAGTTTCGGCATAGAGTTTTTACCTTTCTTCCTCTTGTTTTTATCATTGATGCTGAATTCTATTGTTATGATTGTGAAAACAATTATGCATAGCTAAACTCCTAATCTTGGGTTTTGATGGAACCTCTTGAAGGATGAATTTCTTATTATGTTAATATAGATTTGCCATAGTATTTTCTCTGTTTGTTCAACTATTTTGTGATTGCTGTTGATTGAAGGGCCCTCAATCGGCTGTGCCTATTTAGTATGTATTACTCGGGAGAGAGTGCATATTTAGGTAGTTGTTGAACAACACCACTCCTCACGTATATGAGGGATCAATACGAAGGGTTTAAAGGTGGGATTAGGGATAACGAAACCTTGGGTGCGATCTAAGTGAGCTGTACTTAAAGTTAGCTAGTGTAATTCGGGAGAATATGTCTAGTATATTGTTGTAATTACTCGAGAGAGAGTTACGACAGTCAGAGTGCTCATGATCGATAGAGAAGACTTAGGCAAATTTATAGCAAACATAGCGGAAAGGATTCCGACAAGAGGGGAAATCAGAACCTTAGACCATTCCCATTCTTGCTTACAAACCGTTTATAGTTAGTTCTTAATTACTGCACTTTCATTACATAATATTTAGTTAGTAAACATCCAACCTATTACTTAAATATCTCTGAAGATTGAATATGTGAATTTGTGTAAGTCCAATAGCTGTGATTGATAGGTTAATTCCCTGTGGGATTCGGCTCCGGACTTGTTAATCGGAATATATTTGCAGCGACCGCTTTATCCTTTTTATAAGGCATAGTTGGGCGTGATCACTCACGCAAAACTAGCATTATTGAAATATGAACATATAAGAAAACTGACAATATCATATAGGATGAAAAAAGTTGTAAAAAAAATATATTTTAGAATATCTTTATTTCATGTAAATAGTTAATTTTTTCTATTTTACTTAATGTAATATATTTATGCTTTATGTTTATTTTATAGGTAATTTTCTTACTTTTATCATTTATAATATTTGTATTAAGAAGTAAAATAATACAAAATATATAAGAAAAGAAACGACAAACTAAATCCCCAAAACCAAAACCAAAACTTCATCCTAAATTCTCTTCCTCAACGACCAGTCTCTCTCCCCACTTTCTTATTTCTATCTTCTATCATCGGTTGTCGATGTTAATTTAAGAATACGAAGAAAGAGAAAGAGGAACGTGGGTTAAGGTGGTGGACCTAATGTGGAAGAGGAATTGAGAATAATACAGAAATTTGGTTCATTGCTTTCACGAACTCTAGGACTTTCTTTATTTTTCTTATTCGATTCAATTGAATTTTCTTTTGTCTTCAATTTGTGCTTAAATTCAATTATGAGAGATAATTAAGAAATAAACTATACATATTTATGTGCCTCCATGTATAGTAATAATTTACACTAAATATAGGTTTTTAATTTTCTGAAAACCAAACGTGTGATGCTAGCTGCGTTCATAGTTCAATATAATAGCATCGTGAGTTTAACTCTGGCAGTAGAGAGGAACAAATTTAATCGAAGTTTCGCGGATAAGAAAAAAAACATGAAATGTAAAAAATATTAATTAATTTATTTATTGTAGCAGATAACCTATATTATTTTTATGGTTATAAATTTCACAGTTCAAAGACGTACAAAAATCATTTAGATGATCTGCTTAGTAAAAATAAAATAAAAAATTACACTTTATATATCGTAAAACAAACGATTGAGAAGCAAAAGCCAAAACTTTCCATTTTTATCATCCTATCTTATGATAAATACTCTACTTGACGACACTAAATTGCTCTAGAAAACACCAGTAATACCAAAGACTAGCTAACTCTAGATGCCAGGTTAGAAGACATGATATTATTACTTTAGAAGACCCTCGAAATTTCAAGCACCCTAAAGTTTTCCCTATAAATATTAGCATAAATTAAATTGTCAATCCCAGAATAAACAAAAAACAAAAAGAAAAGTTCCAAGAAAGTGATCGATCACTCAGCTATTATCAGTTTCAAAAATGGCACTGATTCCTCAACTGCTTGACGATATCTTCCAACCCTTTAGCCTAATTGGCTCAACTAATGAAACCTCTAAATTTTCCAACCCACGAGTTGATTGGAAGGAAACTCAAGAAGCTCATGTGTTCAAAGCTGATCTTCCAGGTTTAAAGAAAGAAGAAGTTAAAGTTGAAGTTGAAGAAGGAAGGGTTCTGCAAATTAGCGGCGAGATCGGTGCTGCTGATAAAGAAGATCAGAAGAAGGAGAATGAGACGTGGCGACGTATCGAGAGACCACGTGGCAAGTTCTGCAGAAAGTTCTGGCTCCCTGAAAATGCTAAACTCGATGAGGTGAAGGCTTGTATGGAAAATGGGGTTCTTACTGTCACCATTCCTAAGCAGGAGATCAAGAAACCTGAGGTCAAAACCATTGAGATTACTGGCTAATTAATTAACTCTACCTGAGGTTAAGAAATCTGATAATGTCTTTATCTTTCTTAATTGGGCATGAGCTATATGTGGCATTTCTTTTAACTATATGAGTTTGTTTCTACTATGTAATCGTGTAAGTGGTTTGTAAGCAATAAAAGTTGTTGTTTGTAAAATATTCACGACTCGGGATCCCAAAATATTAATTTCTTATGTTTATACATTTGCATTAAGTTTGAACTCGATCGAACGAAATCGAACTTTAACGGTCTCCTAAAATCGAACATTTTAAGTTCTTTAAATAGTGTGGTTCACTTAATTTAATATAGTATCAAGTAAGGATTTTAAGCTCATGTCGTAGGTGAGTTTAGTGGATTCAGCTAGATCATTAATTTCAGTTTAAATAATGTACGTATAGGTAAATACAATAATAAAACAAATAGTATGAGATAAATTTTGAATCAATCTCTTATTATTACTTACTTAATAAGATTTCGTGAAAACGCAGGAACGTGTTTCAACAATTCAATGCAGTGTACTCCTAAAGGCATAATAGACCTTGTGCAACACCCGTGACTCAGCCTGTGCTAATTAATTACTATCACTAACTTGGTTTTACAGTACACGTTTCTTGGAAAGGTCTGATCTTATGTAACAACTGGATATTACACCCAAACCAACTGATTATATTAACTCAATAAACGGAACTACAATAATCAAATAGCAATACAATAGTAGAAAACAACACTAAAGGAATTAGAGAGTAGATCTAAAGCTAAGAAGAAAGGGGATGAGAAACAGGTTCAGCAGAGGAGATGAGAAGAACAGACTCAGCCGAGGCTTCAACATAATTCGCATTCCTGTATCTCCCCCTGGATCCCAAATATAACGTCCTAGCATTCCATTCGGGTGTTTAGTCATTGGTCTTCTTCTCACTTTAACTTCTGGCCCAAATGTCCCAACTGGATCAGCGTCGTTTGACATTTCTGGCCCATAATCCCTTCCTAACTCAACTTGGTTCACAACAATACTCCCATCCGCAAAAAGAACCTTGTCCTCAAGGTTCGAGTTATGAGCACTGTTAGTAGCACTTTCTCCACAATATATTAGCCTCATGTAAGTGAGCATTGAACCTTGTCTAGTAGTAATAGATGAAAAATAAAATTCTTTCAAACAACATGAGAAACCATTCTTTGCACAGAAAAATGGGATTGCTGCAGATTCTTCAAATGAAAACAAATAAAGCTTATCCTTTGAGATGGTTGGTTCTCTGGCTATACTCGTAGTACCATAATGATAAAGAAGCAGATGGCTAACAAGGACAACAGAGCCTCTGTTGAATCTTCCAACATCAAACATTGTAGTGAAGAGAACAAGTGATGGAAAATCATGCACTGCTCCTTCTCCAAAGACAAGGCTGTACAACACTAGAGCCGTGTCTTGATTAAGAAACCACATTATACAAACACTGTCTGGTGACAAAAGAATTGCTCTAACATCTACTCCTGCAACAGAAACAAAACATTGTAACACCCCAACATAACCATCCCCCGATGCCTCCAAAATACTTGCTAATAAAATGTCGCCACATGTGTCATCAATTAGAGCATAAAGCTCAGTAAGAACTTTATCAAACTTTGGGAGTATAGGTTCACCATCAACACCACTACGAGATAAATTAAATATCAATAATTCTCTCATATCCCAGAAAACCACTTGAGCTTCCACTAACTCACAAGTTTTCCGGATAGCATCAGTAGCGCCATCTCGGATGCATTCAAAGGTGCGAACTAGAAACTCATCAATTGGCCCACCCCACAATGTAGCTATTAAATCATAAGTAGAACGAAAACTACTATCTGTAAATATAGTCTTGTTGGAGCCAAAGGGTAGAGGAATATCATGTATACCAGGATCAAATGGAAGATTTGAAAAGGTGAGATACACAATGAAACCTGTTGAGGAATAAGAATGAAGTTGCAAAGTAACGTTCCAATCAGAATTGTTGCTTGGCAAAAGGATTTTTAAAGTCTTCCTGAGAATATCGCAAGCAAAATAAGCAGGAGAACTTAGCATTGTCCATTTGTTTTGCCTTTGCACATCCATCAAATGGTTTCCCACTGTCTGCTTCAAAACCTTGTGCACAAACTTTGCTGACACAATACATCCAGATATTCCCATCTTGTCATCATTAAAAAGAAGTTCTCTTACTGCAAGGCCATGCTCGAACTCCATAAAAATTTTATCAAGATGTCGATCCTCAGTATTCTTAGGTACCCGGAAACATTCATCAAGATAAATGGTGTTAGGGGCATCAACACCCAATTCAATTCCACCTAATTGCTCCCAATCATACAACTTTCCAAATAAACAACTCGACCCTTTTCTACTTGATTTAAACAGCTTATGTGCATCTAATGTAGAAGTCGGAGTAATATGAGGAAGAGGTGAAAAACCTGACGCAACACTAAATTCCTGTCCCGTGTCGAACCACTTATCCACATAACTAGAAATTGGTAGCCTAGTATCCCTTCCATCCGTATCCCAAGCACCAAAGTATAGTACTAGTGGAAGCACTTGGTTGTTACAAGCCTCCAATGTCATTAACAGTGCAGGGCACTTCATACCAAGAATGACGTATCTATCTTCACCATTAACCTGGCTTCGGTAGGATGTATTGATGTTTAATGTGGCACTGGGGACGTGAAACCTTAAGGTATCTAAAAGTTGGCAATTGATGCAAGTAATTATGGTAGTATTATTTTTCACCTCATATCCACATTCAACAAAAGAAACCAGAAATGAAATCATATCTACAATTTCTCCAGGCCACCCAGGTATCTCTTTTGGGAAATTTTCAAGAAGCACCTTGTCTTCCTGTGAGTCGCCATCATCCAATTCATATTCATCAGTACATACCTTGGGCACTAGCCATATGGCATTTCGGCGAACATCTTGTTCACATGGCTCGTGTTTTCTTCTTCCAAAGCAGATTTAATCTCATGAAACAAGACATGTGCAGTTGGTTGTTCGACATTGGATGGAAGCAAGAGAGAGCCATCAAAAGGAGCTGGTAACGATTCATCAGGTGCAAATTGGAGTCGCTGACTAGAGCCAGTTCCTTGCGGAACTTTGAGAAACACTGTGTCTTCAAAGTTTGTTAACGTTGTAGTCTCACTATCTGTATGAGCTTTAAGGTCAATTTCAACAGAGTCCAAACCATCCTGGATTTCAAAAGACGTAACTGATGATGACAATTCCAACAAATCACTATCGTCTGCGCCATTGGACATTTTATCGATAATGTTGGCCGCCTCTAAGTTTCTACCTTGGGAGGTAGATTCCAAGTCAGATGAGTTTGGTACATGGCTCAAAACAAGAGAATATGCACCTTTGGATCTATCAGATGATTCATCAAACACCTTATGCGCATGAATTTTGTTTTTGCAGTCACATTGTCTACCATAGTTTTGCAAGAAAGATGAGTTGGTCATACAACTCCTCTTCGCTAATTTCCCTTCCGACTTGAGCCCTTTCTGTTTAAATCGAGTTCTCACTTTATCAGCAAAATGCGGCCAATCAATTAATTGCTTGTTCCTATACAACGACTGGTACCATTCCAATGTGTCACCATCAAGGTAGAATAACGCCCTAGTAAGCTTCTGATCATCCTTAATTTTATAAAAATCGAAGTAACATTCTGCTTGGAATATCCAATCCTCCGGATTCTCGCCTCGAAACCACCATAATTTGGCGTCCATGGCTGTATCTCGGGGTTGAAAAGAGGTCATAGCCTTTTTCCCCATAACCTCCAACAATACAGAACGAAGTTCAGCTAGATCCTTAGAAATTGAATCCTTCATTTGTTGAACTGAATCACGAATTGAATTATCAATGAAAGCCTTGAGTACTTTTTGGTCCTCCATTGGAGACCTCTGGATGAAAGCACCAATGTAACAACTGGATATTACACCCAAACCAACTGATTATATTAACTCAATAAACGGAACTACAATAACCAAATAGCAATACAATAGTAGAAAACAACACTAAAGGAATTAGAGAGTAGATGAGAAGAGAAATTGCAACCTAAAGCTAAGAAGAAAGGGGATGAGAAACAGGTTCAGCAGAGGAGATGAGAAGAACACACTCAGCCGAGGCTTCAATTCCTGTATCTCCCCCTGGATCCCAAATATAACGTCCTAGCATTCCATTCGGGTATTTAGTCATTGGGCTTCTTCTCACTTTAACTTCTGGCCCAAATGTCCCAACTGGATCAGCGTCCTTTGACATTTCTGACCCATAATCCCTTCCTAACTCAACTTGGTTCACAACATCTTATTTCCTCAATTAACTTGTTGATGTTACAAAACGATGACCCGCCTACCAAAACACTCTTTTGAGCCAAATTAGCAAAGTTGAAAGATGATTTTGCAATCTCTTCGTCCTTATCTTCCATTAAAGTCCTAGCAAATTTCTCTAGTGTTAGTCTATCACATAAATGCTTCATATCAAGTCCAACTCTGCACTCACACACCTACTGTTCACTTTTTGGTCAGCAATAATTGGCCAACATATCGTGGGCAGACCAACAGGTGATACTTTCCAGAGTTAAGTGTCATCCGGATTCAGGATTTGAAACTTATGGGTTCTTACCGTAATTTTAAATTAATATGCAATAATAATTGGGTTCAGTTACATATTTACAAATATTAAGTGGATTTCTTAATATAAATACACAGTCTATGCAAGAGTTACTGGGTTCGCGGGAACCCGTGTTCAATGCTCTAGGTCCACCCCTGATCCTCTGTGGTTAAAAATTGAAAAACTGGCATCCTAAAACAACACATAACAGGAATTGGTAATTTTTTTAGCTTTATATTAGATTTGGCAAAGATAGCCCCAAACAATTCGCATTATATGCCCAAATCCTAAAAAAAAAACTACTCTCTTTGTTTACCTCGAAATACGAGTAACAATTAAACTTGATTTATGGTTTTAAAGATATGTGATTTAGTCCAATACTAATTAATAACCAAGAAATCTGAAGTATAGATGAAAGAAATAAGTAAAACCAAACCGGTATGTAGGCTAGTCTCGGCCTCGAGCTAGTCTGGCCTCAATGTGAATCAAGAAAGCAAGAATAATAAAGCTAAAGGACAATTCTGATGAACAGTGAGCG